GAGACCAGACATTTACCAGACTAGACCAATTCAAATGACATTAAACTAGACTAGATTTAAACACAACAAACCATACTAACAAATTTTGATCCAAGTAAAAACATCCTTAACTCCAACAATATATTCACCAAACATATTTTTGTAATTTGAAATGAAAAAAGTATCTAAAATATGAAAAATAAACGTGAGATCTTAAATTTTGAATCTAAAGGTGTTTTTACTTAGACTTAAATTTGTTGGTCTGATTTAGTAAATATCTGATCTCTGTGTATTTTATAATTATAGAAGTGTGCTCTGATCAATTTTGTTTAAGTCTGATCTGGTTTGATCTGATCTAGTCTGTTCAAGTCATGTCTGGTTTGGTCTGATCTATTTAAATCTGATATATGGTTGAAAATAGTCTAAGTAAAAATATCATAGTTTATGTGAAAAATAATACCCACTCAATCACGTTTCCCTTACAATCTAGCGCCTCGCCAAATATAGTTTTTATCTTACCTCAGATAAAAAATATGTCTAAAAAAGATATAAAAATAAATATGAGATCTTAATTTTAAAACTTGAATCTATTTATGAACTTTTTTGAACCTAAGGCTACTAATTAGATTTTCTGATTTTTGTTAAAAAATATTGATTTAAAATTAAGTTTATTGACGAGTATGTAGTATCAGTTTCACGTGAAAGCTTAAAAAATTGTGAAATTTGGTATATTTTTTAAAATATTTGGAGCAACAATTTGAACAGATTTTTATAAAAATATTGGTTTAGAATTAAGTTTATTGACGGAGCATGGTTGCAACGAGCATTTTCACCCTGTATGTGCTTCAAATTGTTTTAAATGTTAATATATCCAATATTGGCGTCATATGAAAGATCGTAAAAAGTTATGAAATTTGGTATATTTTTTAAAAAATTGGAGCAAAATTGTAAAAGATAACACTTTAAACAAAAAGAGTTTTTTTTACTTAGGCCCCCCCACCCCATCACCCCCTCCTGTGCAACGATCATTCTCCTTTCCGTAGTTTAGGCGTATGTTGCCCTTTCATTTGGCGACTCTCCCAATCATAGTTAATTTCAACAGTAGTTTCGTAAATAGTTTTAACCGCACACTAATTTCGTAAATAATTTATTTTTAAGCATTAATGTGGAAAAAACTCTATAAAAACACATAGGAGCGGAGATAATTATTAAAAAAATTATAGAGCCTTATATAACTAAGTCATATAGCACATGTGGCATCATCACAATCTTCATTTCTATATTAAAATTATAATGGAGGACCCTACGTCATATAGGGGGCTCCATAAAATTTTACGATAATTGTAGTTCCCGAACTGGACCTGATAAACACCGATCGTAACTGCCTGGTGCACCTGAATAAAAAATAGGTATCGAAACCGGTCAACCCATTGCGGATGATAATCGGATTGGAGTAAGAACTAGAGTGGGGATGATATTCGTATATGTAACAAGAGTGCGTTTGTTTTTTGGCGTTTGTTGACCAAAATGCTAGAAATACCGACGTTTCATAATGTATAATATGTAGTGTAATATAGTATGTAGTATAATATGACATGTATATGTATGCATATATGTATAATATAGAACCGGTACTAATACATAATCCTCTATACTTAATAGCAATACTGATGGATAGTGTACCAGGGGTAGCTTATCCGAGGGGTTATTACGGTGAATAACCTAGAGAAAGTCAGAGCAATAAGTAAGAGAGAGAAAGTGTATTTGAATATGTGAACTTGTGATGCTTTACAATGGGGAATGGGCTGCCATTTATAGCAGTAATAAATGCGATGCGAGTACACATGTCAACAATCTAGCGGTCGAGGGGTCACCTCAATTGGGATGGCACCGCATACGCATGTGCACCGCATTAAATGCGGTGGGTGGATGTGACGCCGCATTAAATGCGGCTGTTGCTTGTCTCCAAAGGGAATCTTCGGTGTTTGTGATGTAGCCGAAGGCTCCCCTGTGGCGGGGGGCTCTGTGTAGCCGAAGGCTACCCAAGTGCCGAAGGCATGCATGAGCCGAAGGCTCCTGACTTCCGTCGTTTTCTCCCAGTAGGTTTGTATGCGTAAAATTAGCTGTCATGTGAGTTTTTGGGGCCTTCGGCCATGGGATCAAAGGCACCCGTATGTGCACCGCGGGCTTCTTGACATTTGAGTCGCTGTCCTTTGGGTCTCCTGTGCTTCTTTAGGCCTGTTGGGCTTGTGTTAGAGTAGTAGGAATCTGTGGACCAGGGGTCCGTGGTCCATATACTCCATCAGGAGTCCCTCACTCCTTTTGATGAAAGGTACTTGAGGGAAAAGAAGTAATTTGCGCTTCTCCTCTGGTGCTGGCGTTTGCTTCGTTTTAGTTTGCCGAGGGCAGTCCCTCAGTCCCCCATATTTTGGGACTGAAGGATTATGTTGGTGTTGCGGGAAAATTTTTAACTTTTTGTGATTTTCCCGAAGGGGTTGTCCAGTCCCCCACTCCTTGAGGCACATGTAATGGGGTGAAAAGGAGTAGAGCAATGCTTGTCTTCAGTAGAGATCCGAGGGCTGATGCCTTTTGCTTCATTTTGGGGAGATGCCTCGTTAAAAACCTCATTAGGAAAAACCCTGTGGGAAAAAATCCTAATGAGGGAAAAAGAGTGCACCAGATGCCCCATAATGAAGTAAAAAGGTGAACTCTGCGGTCTGAAATGAAGGACAATGATGAGGCCGAGGGCCATTCGTAACCTGTGGAGAGTAGCCTGAAAACTCGAGGGCCGTCTTGATATGAGGGCGGTGATTGCCGAGGGGGTACCCCTCCAGTCCCCAGATTTCGAGGGCTGAGGGCTCCCGAGGGGTCATTCCTGATTTTCCTGCTGGGGGCTAACCCTTGGTGGGTGGGTTTGAATGTGTTGTCCCGAGGGATTGCTTCTTGTTCGCCTGGAGGGTGTATGTTGCGGGCATCATGATATGTCAAAAACTAGCCGTTGGGGATTGACCGTTGAGATATAACCGTTGGAATATGACCGTTGCGGGTGGGGTCCACATGGTGTGTGCCCGTTGGCTGTCCCGGGCGGGTGTCACCGGTTGGCTGATGCGGCGGTTTGTAATGATAGTTTTTGCAACTGGGGGCCCAAATCTCATCCCAGGCCCGAAATGGGGAGCCTATAAATACCCCCTAGGCCTGGCCTCATATCGCTTATGCGAATTTGTTGTAGTGAAGCTCTGGCGAAAAAATTCTAGAGAGAGAAAGTTCATTTCGATCAAACCCCAGCCCCTGTGGTCAGTTCCTCTATGTTCTTCGCCTTTTTAGCAAGTTTTGCTTTGTGGCCTCAAATCTAGTGTTAGCGATCCTTAGGAAAATTTCTTCCTTTCTCGATTCCTTTCTCCAAACACTCCCGAAGGATGTCGTCTGCTACCGACTCCCAAGATATCTCAGGAGAGCCCTCGGTCCAGGCCGAGACCTTGTCGAAAGAAAGGTCAGCAAGCGGGGAGCCCTCGTCTAACAACGACTCAGCTGCTGCGATGGAGATGCAAAAAAATCTGGTGGCCGAAGCAAAAGCCGAAGACTTCGTGCAAGTGATAGGGGACGAGGAGCTTGCCCTCGCTATGCAAACTGCCGAGGAGGAGGAGAAGGAGCGACAGAAGGTCACCATTGCCGTCCTTCCCCTGTGCAACGCTGGTGAAGCAAGCAGCTCCCGGCTGCTCAACTCGGAGCCTCTCAGGGGTGCCTCGAGGTAGAAGAAGAAAGAGAGGACTACTCCAGGGAAGAAGCAGAGCGCAGCTGACCAAGGGAAACCTGTGGGGATACCCGAGGGCACTTCTTTCTGAACACTGCCACCCTCGTGCTGAAGTCGAGGGCTGACAGGGCGGAGTGCTATGTAACGTAACTCCACGTCGCCCCTTCGGCGATCGTGGTGGAGCCGGGCCCTGACGACGTGCTTTCCGAAGCTCCCGAGGGGTGCTTTGCTGTACATGTGTTATCCGTCAGCCTTGGCCTTCGGTTTCCATTGCACCCTTTCCTTCTCGAATATCTTAGGTATGTTGGCCTAGCCCCCTGCCAACTGACCCCTCACAACCACTCATACATCGCCGGTTTTTTGAGCCTCTGCCGGTCCCAGGGGTGACTGCTAGTCTCGACCTGTTCTTCTAGAGCTTTAATCTCTGCCGAGGAGGTAACAGTAATGCCGAGGGCTTCACGAACCTGCAACAGAACACGTCGTGGAGGCTTTTTGATGACGTGCCTTCGTCCCACAAGGGCTGGAGGGACCATTTTTGTTATATTAAGATGGCAGAAAATCCGTTCCCAAGGGAGCTGCGGAACCACTTTAGGAGGCATCCGAAGGCGGAGAGTGCCGCCCTCGAGAAAGCTGGGAGGAAGATTTCTGCCATCACGGAGGGCCGAGAGAAGCATGTGACTATCAAGGAGCTGACCCTCGAGGATGATCTGTATGCTCTCAGCTTCCGGCGTTACCGTTTTCTGGGGGAACGAGACGAGAGGTATCCCACCCTTGATAGAGCCTTCGAGGGCACCGAAGACAGTTCCTGGAGGCTCCGAATTTTTGTACTTACATATTTTGTAGTTTAATTTTTGTTCTTGTCTTGACCCCTCGGCCTCATTTGTTCATGTTATCTTGCAGGTGCCAGAATGGACGTGAAGGGCTTTGCCGGCATACAGACGCCCGTCGATGAGTTCTTCTCGAAGGGTGGTGAGCCCTCGACTGTCCCGGCTGATGCTGCAGTTGCCGCTGCGAAGAGGAAGGCAGCCGGCAATGGTGTCGCTCCCGTCGGCAAGAAGCCAAAGAAAGCGGAGACCGGGAAGAAGGATCCCCCGATCCTGGTTGTGGATGAGCACTCCTCGTCCGAGCTCCCGATCATCCCGACGGCTCCTACCAACCCCCCTTCGTCACAGATGGGTGGGGGGTTCCCTCGGGAGAAAGAACTTATATCATTTTGGTAAATTTTTCTTCACAATGTCAAGCACAACGTCTAGATGTAGACATTATGGTTGACATTGCAGAGAAAAACTTAACAAAGAGCTTTAAAAAAGATGATCTCTCTTGGCACATTGTAGCATCAACGGGAGATGCTCTAAATCTCCCTAAACTTACCGATCGTGTACCAATTCATCCGATCCGGCACCTCTCTCTACCGCTCATCTCAGCCAGAAGGTCGTACGCTATATTGTTCTCTCCCTTTCCAGCTCCTCTTCCCCTTAGGTCGGACGCAGTCTACACTACGCCGTGCTTCTAGTATCCAGAGGTTAGTAGATTATTACTTATCTGTCTTCTTATTTTATCGCGTCTTGTTTTGTTTGTTCGTAAGATTTCTTTTGAAATTAGCGAGCTGATAACATCACAAATGGGGATTGGTGAGCTGAATATGGAAGAGATGTCATTGCCAGCTCTCTTCGAACGTGTTCGACAAGTCCACTCCTCAGCATCTGAATCGACGGTTGATCAGGTAATTTCATATTCGGCAATGCCTTGTTATATTAATTTGTCCAAATTTCACCTTGTTTTTAAATTAAGTTTGTCTCTTCAGTCTCTTCATTAGATGATTGTTTATCTCGTTGGTGTTTGAATTGTTAGGAGACGGTTAGAAAGGGGTGCGAACTGTCAAGGAAGTGCGAGGAAATGATCAGTAAGCTAGGTCTGTTTTCTTCAAATGAGGTGAAAGATGATATTAGCACTGCGAATCTCAAATATCTTCTGGTAAGATGCAAAACTAGGCTTAGGAACTTTAATTTAACGCATGTTTGATCCATTACTCTGTTAGAGAAAGGAAACTTGGTACTCTGATGCTTATTAGGAAATACTGGCATTTGAATGCTTGTTATTGCATAACTGCAGGTGCCATATTATCTTGGTGAGTTAACGGAGAAGATTTCAGAAGGTGATAGACTGCAAATTCTTAAAGCCTCGCAGGCTAAGTTGAAGGTGAGAGCTTTTATTTGTTGGAAGCTTATATACTTGTATCATGACCAAATTAAGAATATCAAACTAGTATATTCCTCTCATTGGCTTCACACCACAGGAGTTTATTGCATTTTGTGAGGCAATGGAGCTTGTTCCTGAAGCTGAATTGGAGCAATCTATCGCAGCTGGTCCAAATGGTTTTGCAGATCGTAGAGCAAAGAAGGCATGCTTTATTTGTACATCACAGAATTTACATGACACATTATTTTCTGATATGGTAGTGAGATTGTTATCTACCTAATACCTATTCATTATGATCCCATCATTCTGGTTAAGATTGCACGTTTCAAACGCCAAAAGGAAGCCGAATCAAAATTGCTTGAACTGAAGGAGCGGAAGGAGCGTCGTGGGCGATCAACTAAAGCTTCTGCTCTATCAACTCCCGTTGAGGCGGGTGAAGAAGATGTACTGGATGAAGATGGAGAAGAAGGAAGAGAGGCAAGTCATATATGCATTTACATTATGGCATGTCGCCATGTCGTCATGAGCACTGCCTCTAACTTTTGGGTTACTTTTGTACAAATGCTGCAATTACATAGTATTCTATTCATTTGCTTCATTAGGCATTGCGGTTTCTTGAGATTCTCTTTCTTTCAATGTATATTCTTTTGCATTCCTGAAACTGCTTTCTTACTCCAGGTTTGGCTTGCAACCATCTCCTTATCTCTTTGTAAGGTTTGTCTTGATTTTCAGTTTTCATGGATTTGTTCCCTTTTCTGTCCAGTTGCAGTTTCAATATGTTTTCATTTTAATTACTGTAACTGGTGTTACAGGCTATTGATCTACTAGAAATGCTGAGGAAAGAAGATGAAATGCTCTCTGCTATAAAGGAGAAACAGCTTGAGGTACGGTTTGATTGAGGCATTCACATATCTTAGTCAATTTGTGAAAACAATGTGTATAGAAGTTCTTCAAGAAACAGTGTGAATGGCTTTCACCCCCATAGTCCACTCCTGGGTTCTGCATACAAGAACTAAAGACACCAAATTTATTGACCATTAAATCCTTTTATTTGTATTGGACTATTGGCACAGAGAGGGGATACCTATGTTTCAAGTTCTGTATTATTCTCACACGAGTTTCCTTTGACCGTATATAGACAGAGCCGTTTTTTAGGAGGTTCAATATGTTATCCAGAACAGGGCCCCCAAATTTATGGAGCCCCGATTTTTTATTTTTTTAGTATTATATAGTAATATTATAAATTTATACTAATCAGTAAAATACAGTTGGTAAGGAAGAAAAATATAGATTCATCATTTTTCATTAGTCCTTTTACTCTTTAGAATGTTTTTACTTAGACCGGAATTTACTGGTCTGGTCTAGTGTGTTCTGAATTGGTATTGGTCTCTGTGTATTTTATAGCTATCCAAGTCTAATCTGGTCCGATTTGGTCTGGTTTGATTTGGTATTGGTCTCTGATACCATTCTCTTGATCCAAAGTAGTTCACAGATTCCATTAGTCATAGATCTAAATTCAGATTCTGCACTACTTCTGGCAACTACATTCTGCTTCTTACTCCTCCAAGTCACCAGATTCCCCCATACATAAGTACAATACCCAGATGTAGACCTTCTATCAGTTACTGAACTAGCATAATCTGCATCTGTAAAGGCTTCTACACTTCTATTGTCATTTCTTTTAAAAAATAATCCTTTCCCTGAACAACTTTTCAAATATCTTAGGATCCTGTAGGTAGCATCTAGATGTTCCTGGAATGGATTATGCATGAATTGACTAACCATACTGACTGCAAAGGCAATATCTGGCCTTGTATGTGCCAGATAAATCAACCTTCCCACCAATCTTTGAAATTGGTGAATATTAACTGGTACTCCTTCCTTGACATTTCCTAACTTTTGATTAGGGTCAATTGGGGTATCTATTGGTCTGCAGGCACTCATACCTGTTTCATGAAGTAGGTCTAGTACATACTTCCTCTGGGATACCACAATTCCCTTCTTTGATCTGGCTATCTCCATGCCAAGAAAGTACTTCAATTCTCCCAGGTCTTTGATTTCAAATTCCTAAGCAAGCTTCTTCTTCAGGTCTTCAATTTCTTTACAATAGTTTCCTGTAAGAATTATATCATCCACATAAACAATTAGTACTGCAATCTCTCCCTTAATGGAGAATTTCATGAATAGTGTATGGTCTGCTTGGGCTTGCTTGAATCCCTGCTTCTTTATGAATTGAGTAAACCTTTCAAACCAAGCCCTTGGGGACTGTTTAAGTCCATATAAGGCTTTCTCCAGCTTGCACACCTTTGAGCCATATTGTTCCTCAAACCCAGGAGGGGGGCTCATGTATACTTCCTCTTCAAGCTTCCCATTTAGGAAAGCATTCTTCACATCTAACTGTTGAAGAGGTCAGTCTAGGTTAGTAGCTAGAGATAGTTGGATCCTTATAGTATTTAATTTTGCAACTGGATCAAAAGTTTCTGTATAATCTATGCCATAGGTTTGTGTGTATCCTTTGGCAACCAATCTGGCCTTATATCTTTCAAGTGTACCATCTGCCTTGAATTTAGGGGTAAATACCCATTTGCATCCCACCCTTGGTTTGTTTTTGGGTACTTCTACAGCCTGCCATGTCTGATTCTTTTCAAGAGCATTCATTTCTTCTAAAACAGCCTTCTTCCACTCAGGTATAGATAGAGCTTCCTGTATGGTTAAGGGAATAGAAACAGTGGAAAGACTAGAGGTAAAGGCTGCAAATGATGTAGATAACTGAGAATAGGACAGATAGTTTGAGATAGGGTATTTAACACATGATCTTTTTTCTTTTCTGAGAGCAATGGGTAGATTTAGATCACTGAAATTATTACCTTTGTCATTTTCTGACATTGAGTCAGATTCATGGGCAGTGGCAGGATCAGGGATGTCCTCTATTCTGTGATTTGGAACTCTCCTTTCATAAACCTTGCCAAAAAACTTACTTATCTGCTGTTCATCATCTTTCCTTGTTTCAGAAAAATTTATTTCATTTTCTTTTGACTCTTGACTATTTTCTAGTGCATCTAACTGTCTATTATATTGTGCATCTAGATTAATGTCAAGAGATTCTAGTTTTTCATGGATATGTGACACCTTATCACCATCTTCATTAGGAATCTCCCCCTGAAGATGAGTACCAAAAAAAGTTGATCTTCTACAAAAACAGTGTTCATAGTTATAAACATCTTTTTTGTTATAGGGTCAAAACATTTATAGCCTTTCTGAGTTGAAGATAGTCCTAAGAAAACACATTTTTTGCCTCTAGGATCAAATTTGCTTGCAGTTCTGTCAGGGTTGGTAATAAAAACTGTGCAGCCAAAAATTTTTATGGGAAGAGAATTAATGAGCCTAGTTTCAGGAAAACTGGCTTGAAGAGTATCAATAGGAGTTTTGAATCCTAGAGTTTTTGATGGCATCCTATTAATTAGATAGGTAGCATGTAAAACAGCTTCTCCCCATAAATATTTTGGAATTTTAGCAGAAAACATAATTGCACGAGTGACTTCAAGCAAATGTCTATTTTTCCTCTCAGCTATTCCATTCTGAGCAGGTGTATTTACATAGGAACTTTGATGAATAATCCCTTTTTCAGCAAAAAAATTATTTAACTTCTTAGAAAAGTACTCAAGACCATTATCACTTCTCACAGTTTTGATATTAGTGTTGAATTGAGTTTGGATCATTGAGTAAAATTTTTTGAACACTTCTTCAATCTCAGATTTTTCTTTAAGTAAAAACACCCATGTGACCCGTGTGTGATCATCTATGATAGTTACAAACCACCTTTTTCCTTTCAGAGTTGAAACTCTAGATGCACCCCAAATATCACTGTGTACAATAGTAAAAGGACTAGTTGGCTTGTAACTATGAGGGATATAAGAACTCCTATGATGTTTGGCAAGTGCACACATATCACAATGAAATGATGAAGGATTTTTATTATGAAATAACTTAGGAAACAACATTTTCAGATAAGAAAAACTTGGGTGACCTAATCTATAGTGCATTAAATACACTTCATTATTACAAGGAAAGAAAATAGTTTGCAAACAAGTTTTTTCTTGACCTTGTTTATTCAATTGTGTTCCTTCATCAAAAGTATAGAGGCCATCCTCCTCTCTAGCACTGCCAATCATCCTCCCTGATGCCAGATCCTGAAAAATGCAATAAGAGGGATAAAACTTTACACAACACTGAAGGTCTTTAGTTATTTTGCTAATAGAGATAAGATTGCAGGAAAGTTTTGGAACATGTAAGACTTTGGAAAGGTTAATGGATGAGGAAATTTTAATATTTCCCATCCCTGCTATGGCTGAAAAAGAGCCATCTGCAACTCTAACTTTCTTATCTCCTGCACAAGGTTGATAAGAAGAAAAAAACTTTGGAATGTAGGTCATGTGGTCTGTTGCACCTGAGTCAATGACCCAGGTGTTTTTTGGTTTTCCAGAACAAAAAAATGATGTTATTTTACCATTTTGGGCAAAACAACAGGTAGGGTTTTCTTGGTTGGAGATTTTCTGGGTGGGTATGAATTTGAGTAGGTACTCTATCTGTTCCTGAGTGAATGGTAGCTGTTTAGATTCAACTCCTGACTCTTGTTGAGTCTCAGTCACAGTAGTTTGTAGGGCCCTCTCTACTTTCTTCTTTCCAGCTCCTGGTGGTTTTCCATGAAGTTTCCAGCATGTATCCCTTTTGTGACACAGTTTCTTGCAGTGATCACTAGGGGTGGGAATAACCGCGCCTAAAAACCGGAAAACCACCGTTTTTCCCGGTTAACCGAACCGCAATTTTTTAAATCCACGGTACGGTTAACCATCCGTGAGAATAAACGGTTCGCGGTACGGTTACGGTTTTAGAAATATGTTATTATCGGTTAACCAATAACCGGTATGTTCATGTTTGGTCATGAACTTCACGTTCTCAGAAAACTTGGAAAGATAAATATGTATCCAACACATCTAGATACATCAATTCTAATAAACATGTGAAGAAACCAAATTCTGTTTGTCACTATAGAATTTTTAATTTCATATTATTAATAATTAGTCAAAGCTTTTGTGAGTTATAATTAATTAGCCCATTCTGCAATCGTGATAGTTGAACATGTGTATTCTTTTTTTGAAGCAATTGAACACGTTTATTCTTATTAAGTGTATTTTATCTTTTCCTGTATTCCACTCTCAAAATTTATTTTTCTCTTGTTCGGACTTAATTAATATAGAAAGAACATGATGTGTGTATATATATAATCAATGGTTTGATGGTTTTTGGTTAACCGGAGTTTTGGTTAACCGATACTCGGTTAACCGAAGATTTGGTTAACCGATACTCGGTTAACCGAAGTAATAGGTTTCTCGGTTAATCGGAAAGTTGGTTAACCAAAACACGGTTAACCAACCACGCCCACCCCTAGTGATCACACCAAGGTTTTTTCTTGTTGTCATCACTTCTGGCCACCAAAGCTGAAGATTCCCCAGGTTCCTCATTAGGTACTGGAGTGTTGTACATGACCCTCCTCCTGCTATCTTCCAACCTGATCTCAGAGAAGACCTCTCTGATTGAGGTCAAGGGTTTCTTCCCCAGTATTCTGCCTTTTACTTCATCTAGGTCTCTATTCATTCCTGCTAGGAACATATAGACTCTGTCATTTTCCTCTCTCTTCTTGTGTCTTGCCAGATCCTTGACACTTTCCCAGTCTTCAACATCATAGCATTGATCCAACTCTTGCCATAGAGATACCATCTCATTATAGTATGAGATGACATCTCTATTTCCTTGTTTGGACTGCCAGAACCTAGTTTTTAATTCATAGATCTGAGAAGAATTCTCAAGATATGAGTAGGTTTCTTTGATTGAATCCCATACCTCTTTTGCAGTTCTCATGAACATGTGAGGTTTGGCGATTGATGCATCCATTGAACTGAGAAGCCAAGCTGTTACCAAAGAGTTTTCTGACCTCCAGACATTGTAGCCATCTTCACCATTCTTCTCCTCTACTTCACCCGTTATGTATCCCAGCTTTCCTCTTCCATCTATTGCCAGTTTGACAGACTGTGATCACTCTAGGTAGTTGGTTCCATTCAATCTCTGTCCATTAATGAGCATAGATGAATTAACCGAGGCCTGGTAATTTGTCATTTGGCTAATTTGGGGGTTAGGATGATGGGTTTGTGAGTAGGTGGAGGAATCAGAGTGTTCAGTGTCCACCATTATGGTGTTTTAAACAACAAGGCTCTGATACCATGTAAGTTTGAAGAATTAATCTTCCTTGTATAATATTGAGTCATCCGGCAATGATATATATACAAGTTTACAGATAAACTAAAGTTGTTACAGATCCTAAATATTAGGATCTATCTATTCTATCTAATCTGCGAGCTAATCTAAGAATTAGAGACCTAAATCAACTCTAATTCCTATCTATACAGTCCCGGATGTACAAATAATAAAAATAACATGTATATGCTACATTTTTCTACAGATCTTATATGGTATGGGAATGAAAACAGTCCAAGAAAAAACATCCTAGTTCTCTTTTAATGAGTATTCAATTGATTTGATTATAAGTATTTAGATTGAGATTCTTTTATTTTATATATATATATGGGGCCTCAATTTTACATTAGAACCGGGGCCTCCAAATTTATTAGACAGCCCTGTTAATATAGGGGTGTGCAAACTTGGGTTTGGACCTGAGCCTCAAGTAGAACCTGGAGAACTTTGGGTGCTCATTTTAGGGCTTGAGAACCCTGCCCTATGCATAGGACTTTGGGGCAAATCTGATAAATCACTGAGTTGGACCTGATCCATGCCCACCTCTACAATATATGTCCTAATCCATAGTTCCACTTTATAGAAATGAAAATTTCAATGAAAATCACATAGTAATTATATCACAGGAAGGACAAACACAGATCTCACAAGCAATTCTTGATGAACGCACAATGAAAGCAGAGGTGTGGCATCGTGCTGCTGCTGCGCGGTCACTCTACACTAGACCGGCAAATCCTATCACTTGTGCAACTTTCGCCCAAGATGTTATAGAGGGGAGAGCAGATGTTTCGCAGGTGCATGAGCATAAACACCAGCCCTTGATATTTGGACCAGCTAGTCTTGTTGGCGGGAATCCCACTACTCAACGGGAAAGAATGGCTGCACAGGTTTTCCAGCCACACTATAGGTGTGTAATGTGAATTAAATATTTTATCAAATAGAAAAGTGGTTTTTGATTTAAAAGTTGCATTATACAACATATACATGGTAAACGAAAACTATTCAGAATTGAGAACTGCCTAGTGAAAACAACTTTTTCTCTGGTTTCCAAAATTTTTATTTAGTTGAAAAAGAATTGGAAAGAAAACCACATCAAAAGGACCTTTCACCTAGAGATGTAATGAGATGTAAGAATGAACATGGCAGACTCCATTAGATCGTAGATATGCAGCAAACTGTGTAATGCTGCCTTGCTGACTAAAAATTTGAATATTTTTAGAATGCCAACTATGAGCATAGAAGAAGCCGGGCTAAAGGAGATGGAGATAATGAACAAGTGGCAAGAAAAGAATGTGAAGCTCATGGAAGAAGCAAATTCAGCATGGTACAAGGAAAACCGCACATCAAAGCCTGTAGATGAAGGCGAAGAAGAAGATGAAGATGCTGCTGAAGAGAAAGCCAGGGCATGGGATGACTGGAAAGATGACAATCCTCGTGGTGCCGGCAACAAAAAACTCACACCTTGTGGCTAAGATTCACCAACCGATGGTTAAATTAATATGGGAACTGCATGTTCCACACTTCCCACCGTAGCCTTTCCATGCATTGATATTGCATGTCAGTTTTTGAGATTGAATGATGAACTCATTTCTTTCATTTCATATATATATTCCGGTTTTCCAGGTGCATGATGGGTTAAGAGCCAGTCTTTGTATAGGGCTATAGGAGATTTATATTAGTAAATCATTTGCGTAAATTAAAGAATCACAGTAACTGATACCACCACCAGTTGTTGGCGTCACTGTTAATATTTTGTTGATTTCTTGTTTCTATGTACTGTCTTGGCGAAAATCAAAATATTCTCTTGCCCCAGTCGTTTCCATGGTTATGAAAGTTGTTTCACAATTATTTCTAGAACAAAACTATCACACTTTTGGTTAGGGATGGACCGGGCCGGTTTGGTCCAACCCGGACCGGAACCGGGACTGGAGGCCCGAACCGAGGGATTTTGGGGCGGGCTATGGGATGATGATTTGGTGGACCGACCCAGCTGGTCCGGGTCCTGTCTGGGCCCAATTTTTTGTTTTTGATTTACCAACCCGGGCCGGTACCGGGCCTTCATCCAAAAACCTAGTCCCGCCTCAATCTTGGCCATTGCTACTTTTGGTCCTCAATTATTATGGCATTGCTGCTTGTTGCCTCAATTTTTTTTTATCACTTTTTGTGCATGAGAATGAGCTCCTTGCCATTTTGACAACTTACAACATGTACAATTTCGGGTTGATTTGCATCAGTTAAATGACAGGAGAAGATGAAATTGACAAAGAACAAAAAAGATATTTGTATCCATCCTTATAGTTGGGTAATAGAAATTGATACGTGTGAGTCTGTGGGATCACTAGTCAGAACTCAGAAGGGCATGCCACTGGTGAAACATTTATTAATTTCTCGGTTAAAGTTGTTCGTAACTTCGGAATTTGTAAAGGTAAAGATGGTCCAATCTTCTAATTTAAAAGTTCCAAAATTCTTCATTTAGAAGGTCCGATCAACAGATCAAAGGGAGTAATTGCAGAGTTGAGATAGATGTTAGGTAAATAATACTCCGTACGAAGTATGCTTTTGGTGATTGGTTCTAGGGGTGAGCATTCAATCGATCGGTTAAATAACCGACCGATAACCGAATAACCGACCAGGCCGACCACTAAAATTTTGTTTTATGACCGACCGATAAACGACCGACGATACTTGTTTAACCAACCGAAATCATCAAAACGCTTTCGGGCGGTAACCGCATAACCGACCATAACCGACTAAAATGTTGACTCGTTGAAACTCCTATTTACGTGGAAGCAGAAGGACCAAAGTCACCAAACGGAGGAAGGGAGGATTCTCGCGCAAGGCGCTTTAATTGAAGATAATAATCACAAAGTATTACTACTATATTCTATCAAAATCTTGAAGCAATAATAGTATCTTCGGTGGCTATTAGGCGCTTGAAATTTGGCTTGCATGAAAGGGCGTTTAGCATTTAAGATAACAAATTTGATACAGGTGGCAATAACAGACCACTGCCACACACAAGAATAATTTGACTAAACACATTCAATTGACATAGGAAAGCAGAACAAAACTTCTTGAATTACAGGGATGGGGGCAAAACAAGTTTCATTGATAAATAAAAGAGATTTTACCCGAAATAGGACTAGAACAGTTTGAAAATTCCAAAATAGGACTATTATGTTTTTATTCCCAAATAGGACTATTATGTTTTTATTCCCAAATAGGACTAATTCCTGCGATGTTTTGGCAGTACCAGACTTCAAGCATGTCAGTATTTTCTAAACATGACAGTAGTTAGTCCTATTTTGAAATTTTGAAACTGTTTTAATCCTATTTCGGGAACTTTCCCTAAATAAAAGTGTGTGCGTGTGTGTTGGGGAAATGACAATCCACAACTACTTGGAAAAGCAAATCAAGAAATAAAAGGCACCCAAACCCCAAAATTTTCAATTATAAGTTGGCTCAGGAGAAAGTAGGGAAAAAAGTTTTGTAACAAGGACAACGTTGATGGACAAAAAACAATTGCATGCTACCTATGGCCATGAGTCCCATGACTAGCAAATTACGTAGTATAAGGTAACCAAACTGCTAGGTAACAGGGAGTGTTATTCAACCAGATGAAAGGCAAGAGAATTACACGACAGGCATGAAATAACCCGAGCTAAAAGGAATTCGGATATAATGCCATGAAACAAAGGCACGGATGAGAGACTGGTTGAAAAAAAGATGCTTGTGAATGTGTATATGGAGCTCAGCAGCTTCTCCTCTCCCTTCTCCTTCTCCCTCTTCTTCTCTGATCTGTACTCCTTCAGATTAAACTTGTAAACACATTGTTGTAGCCAAGCTGAATGGTCAGTGAAACTTTGCCCCAGCTCAACAACACAGAACTCACAATCTCCGGTAGGGTTGGATTCGGTTCGGGCCACCCGGCCCGTGACCTGGCCCGGCCCGGTACTGTGCGGGCCCGGGACCGGCCCGGTCGGGCGGTCCGGGACCGGGTATGGACCCGAACCGGTGGGAAGGGGCGGGGCGGGCTCGGGGCTGGATTATTGTGACTCGGCCCGGGTCCGAGTCTAATTTTAATTTTTTTTTTTTTGGTTTGGGCTACTAGCCGTTGGGGGTGGGGCTGGGGACAACCCAAACGGCTATATAGCCGTTGGGTGGGGTAAAGGGGGGGTCCGGGGGGGTTGGCTGGTGGGGGGTGGGGGTGGTGGGGGGGGGGGGGTAAAAAAACCTATAAATACTCCTAATCTTAAACATTTTTTCATATCTCTTCTCCAATTCTTCCTAAATCCTATTCTTAACTCTCTACTCTCTAATTCTCTTATTCTCCAATATATTATATTTATTATTTATATATCTACTTTATAGTTTATACTTAAGAAGTTAAGATGGAAAATCAAGATGCCATTATACGGTATAATTTTGATAAGCAGAAGGACCCGAAGACCGGGATGTGGTACGCAATTTGCAAATGGTGCGAGAAAAAATGTAGCATGGGGGTTTCAGGCGGATTCGGGATGACAATCAAACATATGAAGTCATGCGACAAAACCAAAGGATCGGGAGGTGCGGGAAGTTCCGATTGATTACAATTTTCAAAATGTTCTCTCTTAAAGTTTGTTTTAATTTTCAAATGTAGTTCCTATTTCATTTCAAATAAATGCAATTGAAGTTTGTTTTTAATACTCGTATAAAACTATAAACTATAAAATATAAATTATATAAAAAAAAATTAACCGACCCGGCCCGAACCGGACCCGGCCCGTGACCCGGGCGGGTGGCCCGGCCCGAACCGGACCCGTCCAACCCTCGGGCCGGTCCGGGGCCCATCTCATACTACCCGGCGGCCCGACCGGGCCTAGGCCCGACCCGGCCCGAGTCCATCAATAATCTCCGGTATTGGAATCATAGCCAAGTAGGGTTGCCTGAGTTGAGACTGATGTAAAATAAGACCATGGATGTGGATATTCTAGCGGTTGTGGTTGTGGAAAAGAGAAAAATCTACCAGGGTCACGAATATCATATGCACCGAAATCAGTCAAACATTGATGAAGTATATAGACTCGGACCCCCGGGTCTCACGACTAGTAGGCCTGGACAGCGGCCCACACACGCTTATCGGGTGTCTTTTGTTTTATTGTACTGTTCATATATCATCTGTATGTACTAGATTAGTCTTTTATGTAGTTGGACCTATCGGGCCCATATTAGCGGTCCGACCCATTATTTCTCTATTTATACTTCTTTTGGAACTTGTAACCCTAGAACATAATTACTCATTCACACTCTACTATTCATTCATCTTCTTCACTATCTTTAGCTCAAATCTCTCCTAATTATATAAGATTGGATACCCTATAATCCATCAATGGTTCTTTCATTGAGAGTTTGAGCAAATCAAGTGAGATTCTCTCCACAAACATCAAGAAATCGACCAAAAATTTCTTGACATGACAGTAGTTAGTCCTATTTTGGGAATAAAAAACATGACAGTCCTATTTTGAAATTTTGAAACTGTTTTAGTCCTATTTCGGGAACTTTCCCTAAATAAAAGTGTGTGCGTGTGTGTTGGGGAAATGACAATCCACAACTACTTGGAAAAGCAAATCAAGAAATAAAAGGCACCCAAACCCCAAAATTTTCAATTATAAGTTGGCTCAGGAGAAAGTAGGGAAAAAAGTTTTGTAACAAGGACAACGTTGATGGACAAAAAACAATTGCATGCTACCTATGGCCATGACCCCAAACTTTTTTCCCTGTTATGTAACATTCCCTAATTTTCCTATGACTTCATAACAGGGAATGTTATTCAACCAGATGAAAGGCAAGAGAATTACACCAAAGGCAAGGCGCGCGTGAAACAACCCGAGCTAAAAGGAATTCATATATAATGCAGTCCAAAAAAGACACGGATGAGAGACTGTCTGAACTAAAAGATGCTTGGTAATGTGTATACGGAGCTCAACAGCTTCTCCTTCCACCTTCTCCCTCTTTTTCTCGGATCTGTACTCCTTCATATTAAACTTGTAAACACATTGTTGTAGCCAAGGTGAACTGTCAACTATACTTTCCCCCAGCTGAACAACACAGAACTCACAATCTCCGGTATTGGAATCATAGCCAAGTAGGGTTCCGTAGGCTGAGGATGGTATAAAAAGATGCCATGGTTGTGGATATTCCAGCACTTCTGGTTGTGGAAAAGAGAAAAATCTACTAGGCCATGAAGGATCCTTGTCCAAAATATCATATGCACCAAAAGCAGTCAAACATATTTCATCCTCCACAAAGAAACATTGTGGCCATTCAGTAACTGGAATACTTTTAACACCCGAGTAGGTTTCTAGTTTTTGCCAGCCTTTATGGGGGAATAGGAAATCAAGGGCAAAGATTGAAGGGTCATCGGAGTTCGTTTGGATGAGCAAGAGAGACTTCTTGTTGTTGGGAACAGTGAATGATTTGATATCAAACCAAACAGCTGCATCATCCCCCACTTGTCGCTTCCTGGGAGTATTTCCCAAAGTCCGGTATTTGGATCATAAATTTCAAAATCAATAGTAGTTCTCAAAGAAGAGTCCGCACAAAGGTCTCGGGTTGAAAAGACGAGAACTCTATCACGGCCGTCAGGCATTGAGATTGCCGTAGAAACAACGCGATTTTTCACGCCTAGCATTTCGGCGTCTATCTTCTCTGCCCTGTAATTATCACTCGTGCAGGTAGACAGTTTTGATAGATCTACTTTATATACGGACTTCTTTTCTCCACTCATATAGAGGATCGAATCTAAAACGCAGAACCCCCACCCCTGGTCCATACCATAGCTACCTTCGATCCGAATAATAGGGGGAGGGAGAGGAGGATTACCGTTTGAATCATCCGAATCTGGACGATCTTCTAGATCCAAAATAGACGCATGCATATATTCTCCGGGAATTGCAGGGCAAGCCAAGAAGCTAACGACGATCAGTTTGTTCTTACGAAAACCGGATTCTCCAGTCTTTGATCTTTTGCTCTTCCGGTCGCCTAAATCATACGCCCATGAGCTTGGTGATTCCATGGCTATTCATATCTGAGAATGGCCAAGTGAAACTCACGATTTAATGACAACTAGACTTGGGCTTTAAAAACCCATTTGAAGTTTTTTAGTTTGCCTATATCTAAATAAAAACATTATACTCGGTATTTGTGAATTGTGAAGAAACATTTATACCCATCATTTGTGTTAATACATTGTATGCATAAGAGTTTGTATATTGCTGTTAAAAACTTGTACTTTACTTAGAAACTCCACTGAAAATCTTGAAGACTTTGAATTGCTATATTTTCCACCGAAGCCAATATGTCTTTATTGAATTTATTTTATTTTGCTACCATATTAGCGCATGTAGAACCACATCTTCATTATGTGGCAAATTGGGTTAAAACATTGGAGAGACTAAGGGAGTGTTTTGATCTGATTCTTAAAACTGCTTCTACTCCTTCAGGGAGCAGAAGCAGAAGTTGGGGTGTTTGAGTGAAAGTGCAGAAGTGATTCTGATGCTCTAATTTACTCCTAGAATCGGTTTTTTAGAAGCTGGGGGTGACCAGCTTATGAAAACTGATTCTGATTCTGCTTCCGCTTTAAAAAAGAAGCAGAATCAGAATTAGTTCCAAACACCCCCTAAATCCTTTGTGGCTAATATCTTGTTTTTCTGATCTTAATTAACATTTTAATTAGATGTATTTATGTTTGTTGTTTTAGAAGTTTTTCTGTAATATTATTAATTAAAATTCTATAGACAAAAGTTTGACTATAGGTAGGGTAAATTTTATAGTCACCATGATGTATACTTTTTTTTTTGGAAGAATTTGGTTTAAATTGAAATCTCAACATTTAGATGATGGGTAATCCGACAAGTAGAATCCTGAAAATCATTGTCTCGCGAACCAGACTCAGAGTTAATCATCTCATCAGAAGCAATATAACTCGTTGATCCATTAATGGGCACAAATGAGCCAAAAGCGGCTACCCCAATTCCGTTGTCATCCACATCCAAAATCAACGTCTTACAAACTGGAATAATAAAGAAAAAGCAAATAACAAAACAGACAAAAAAATTACTGGAAAAATAAACAAAACAAATAAGATAAGACTTCCTCCAAACCCTAGATTTACTTGCTCTCCATGGCGGTGGCTCAGGAGGGGGACACGCTCGCCGCTTATCCGCCACAATCTCAACATCAACTTCATCTAGATCTAGTTCTTCTTTCTCTGCCTCAATCGCCATCTTCTTGTATTTTTCCACGAAGCTGTCCATGTAAACCTGTTGTTTTAACCTTTTGCGAGAACCTTGCCAAAATCCTCCTTGTGATCCCTCCTTCCAATAACAACAACTTTCTCGGCGCCGTACTCGCCTAAGCGAACATCACCGAACAAAACAAGCTAGGTGTTGTCTGAGATGGCAACCCTAGAGATAGAAAGCAGGGCTTCTGAATCGAGAGTAGCTCGTTACAATTATGTTGCTCACTATGATGTATACTTAGAATAAATTATAGTCACTAGAAGTTACTAGATCACATCTTTGTCAATTATTTTTATTTTGGTTATATATTTGGAATTTTTTTAAATTCTGAAATTCTTATCATTATATTCCATTACTATTAAATCAACGACTTTATACTGAGCTTCTTAATTAGAGATGAGTTGGTTCTAGAAAAAAAACTCATTTAATTTATTTTCACTTCATATAATATTTTCTAGTACAAACAATTCTATTTTTTTATTGCTAATAGGGGCATGTATTTGCAAATTGCCATTTTGGACTACCATGATATGTAGTATCTCAATAGAATTATTATATAATGCATTTGTACATATTTTTTCTCAGTAACTCGGGCATGCCAAATTGCCAATGACCAACCATTATAAATCACCACTCACACATAGTTGAATCTGTGACTTAGAACACTAGCATTTGAATATACTTTTATTTTGATTTACAAGGTATAGCCATGTAAAAACTAGTATCTCACATGTGTGTTGCACGGGAGGTAAAATGTTGATATTATAAAAGTGAAATAAATACGGAGTATATGTTATAAAAGTGATGTCTCTTAACAAAAAAAGTTGTAAATGTGTCATTACAATTTTGAAATTGACTTTTAATTGGCTTTAAACGGGTGCATAAGTTGTTTCCTTAACTCTTTGAATGGATACATTCAAAGAGTACATTCAAAAAGGAATTTTATCAATCTGAGACCTGAAAGATAGACGAATTATCAATTTGGAATCTGAAAGATGAAATATATCTATATAGGACACGAAAGATGAAAATCTATCAATTTAGGACCCAACATTTCATAGGTTTTGATTTATTTAATTTTTTATTAATTTCATTGCTAATATTTGGTGAAATTTTCTTCACAAAAGTTTATTAGTTTAATAAAACTAAATATTATTTAAAATTTTTAAAATAAAAATAATAAAAAAATTTATGAAAACTTAGGTCCTACATTGATAGTTTTCAATCACTCGGGTCCTAGATTGATAGTTTTACATCATTTGGGTCCTATATCGATACATTTCATCTTTCAGGTTCTAAATTGATAGTTCGTCTATCTTTGAGGTCCCGGGTTGATAAAATTCCTTCAAAAAAAGGATACATTCATGTAGGAGTGGACCCGATTGGAGGTCCCAGACCGGTCCAGAACCGGGGTTGCTATCGTGCAGGACTGGACCGGGTTCGTTTTTTGGCTACAGGTCAAAATCGGGAACCCGGACGGGTAAAGGCGGTTACCGGTCCCGGGTTACAATATTTAGGACCGAACAGGGCGGTTCCGGTCCGAGTTCAGTTCTGGACCGGCCAACTTATGCACCCGTTTAAAGATGATGCCCACACTCAGTGTAAGTCCCGTTACGGCTTATATTCATCTACTGAGAACCCCGTTGAATATCAAGACATCACACCCATATCATATAAGATCGGATATATTTATATTCTCGGTACTATACATGTTTATCACTTAATGTTTATAGTTTAGACCTCAACGTTAATTGCAAGCATAAATTAAATTTAACATACTTATAGGTTGACGTGCACTTTGTCGTGGTGTGCACTCAAAATAATTAATCAATACAACACTTATACGTAGTATAATGTAGTAAGGTTCGTATCCACAGGGAAAAGAATACTTTTCTTTTTAATTAAATTCTAGTAACAAAGGGGTTTTTAGATTTGATTTGATTTAATTATACTAAGATGAACAACCTATATGAGTTTAATTAAGAGAGTTGGAGACTTGGTTTTGCTTTTATCCACTTAATAAAATGTTCGTCGATCCCGGTTATATCTTTAACTATCTTCCTTTCGAATACTCAATCAAGGAGTATATCCATTTCATCGAGGATAGTTATTAATAACGAGACACGTTCATTAGTAAAACTTACTACCGAGTCAATATAGAACACGCGCCCGTACATTAACCCGATAGTAGCAATAAACTTAAGATGACAAGGATTGAAATTGATAACCTCAACACAAGTGGTTTATTGGTTTAATCAATATAATTAATTCCCCTTAGATTATTAACCATGAGACACATGCATTAAGAATCCAAGTTTACTACCGTTGAACGAACCGAATCAATAACAAGCGTATTAATCAATCGATTCTAGTAATAATTAATATATGAAACAAAACTAGTTGATCCTTTAAGTAATGCTCAAAATATTAATATGAAATATGAATAGGAATTAATTAATATTCAAGGAAGAATATTATTAAAGAAGATGAATCCTACTATAATTAATGTCAAGATGTTAACTAATTGTCATCTTAGCAACACTCCCCAACATTAATATAGAGGAAGAAAATACTACTATAACTAATGTCAAGATGTTAACTAATTGTCATCTTAGCAACACTCCCCAACAGTAATATAGAGATAGTATTTAGGAAAGAATTAATAATTAATATTCAAGGAAGAAGATTAAAGAAAATAACTCACAACTTACAATTCATTAAGTTTCAAAGTAGCAGAACCAAGATGGAAGAGTTTAGCTCCTCATTTGGAGACTAAACATGCTAGAAAAATATAAAGTAAATACTATTCTAAGTTGAGCTAAAGTATATGGAAGAAGGGATGATTAAATGAGAAGAAAAAGGGGTGTATTTATAGGTATTTTGAGGTGGCTGGGTCTGATACCCGACCGGGTATATAGGGTACCCGATCGGGTACCTTAGGTAATCGGAAGTTACTGAAATCACATCCAACCCGACTGGGTTGAGTACCAACCCGACCGGGTTGGGAACAAAATCTTATTTTCCACGATCTTTGTATCTTCGGCACGTTGCTATGCTTGATGTTAACTCCAACCCGACCGGCTCGAGTACCAACCCGACCGGGTTGAGTATCAAATCGTATATTTTCAACGTTCTCTTGATCTTCGACACGTGCTTTTGTTCTTGTCAAGTCAGACCGACCGGGTTTTGTTCCAACCCGACCGGGTTTCAGCGCGTAGCTTCCTCTTAGCTTCATATGTCACTTCCAACCCGACCGGGTTTGCTACCAGAATTTATTTTCACCATTCATCTTGCCTCCCTTTGATACCTATAATACTACCTTGCATCCCTGATGGTACTTACAACAAAGTACATACTAAAAATACAAATTACAACCTATAAAATAAATCTAGGGAGTGCATCACAAACTATACTAAACAATTAAAAATAACAATCAAACAATACTAAAATAAAAAACATATGCCCTAGGAAATAGTGCATATCATAGGTGTACACCATAGTCATAAATAATCAAAGTATAAAGGATAAATCACAATTTTTTGGTTTAGAACTTTTATCAAACTCCTAGTGGGCATAGATGTTCATCCCTAGCCTTAGCTAAGAAATTAGCCTCTAATGCTCATATTAATCACAGTACAACAATTAAATGTAATGGAATATGAAATTGCAATAGAAATAATACCTAAACACCAATGATTTCTTAGGATAATCTCCCCTCCTCAAGAACTTGAAGAAAATACCAAGAACAAAAATATAAAAACTATGAATTAAGCTATGTAATGAGTGATTATTAAGGGATGGAAATGGGGTTTATATAGGCTAAAAGATTGACATCTTTTAGTCTATTCACGATCAAAATTCGGATCAAAGGAAATTTCTTAGCTCTCAACCTCCAAATCTTCACATCTCTTCACAATATTTCAGCATGTTCTATTGTTTTGTGTAGAAATCAGGACGACCGGCGCCGGTTGTAGTCATTTTTCACAGGAAACAGGTTCGACCGGCACCGGTTACGTCAAACGACCAGCCCCGGTCCATTACAGTGACGCATTTGGAGAAATTCACATCCGACCGGCGCCGGTTGTG